AGGGTACAGTCCATTGTGATGGAGAGTCCTGGAGCTGGGCTTCTGTTTATAGTCTCAAAGGGAGGGCAATGGATGCTAGTATTCAGCTCACTCTCTTCATTTGTCTAAGGCAGATGCTCCAGTGCTGATTTTGATCCTAAGGCCTGAAGATTTTCAAATTATAGAAATTTCAAATTATAGAAATTTCAAATTATGATTTTCAAATCATATGTGTCCTCGGGATTTATAGCAAGCATGAATATGGCTCCACAAGCTCACTTTCTCTGGCTCTAGCCCTCCTCCTCACCCCTACCAGAGGATGGACTTTTTTCTAACTGGATCTGTGGTGTGCCCTTTCTCCTCACCTGTAACATGATAAATAAAAGGCCCAGAAACTTATTAGGGGTTCAAACTTCAAGCTGAAGATCAAAAGAAGCAAAGCAGCCAGCTACTAGCTCTTACTTCTACCTCAGCTCAGATCACAGGGGCGATCCTCAGACTGCTTCCAACTTCACTGCTCCTCAGATTCACTCAGACGGCTATGCTCTCCTCAGCGTGACTAGAGACTAATTCTCAGACTGAATGCCTCTACCCTTTATACCTCTCAAATCCTGGGATTAAAGGTGTGTACCACCGCTGCCTGATCTCTCTAGCTTGAGGCTGGCTTTGCTTTCTGAGTCCTCAGGCAAGCTTTAAGAAATCATAACTAATACATCACCACACTCACCTCCAATACTACCGCCACATAGACTACTTCTACCACTAGTAGAGGCTGAGCACAACAATGCAGAAGGTGCCTTGACAAGAGGTCAGGCCTCTGAGCTTCACTCCCCAAGTTTTCTGAATGCACCTAGATTTTCCACCTCTGCAGATAGGTGCTTGAGGCTGCAGATCCATGGAAACTTCTCCAAGGAGGTTTGCTGACACTGGAACCTCTGGGATCAAGTGAATTTTCCACACTGAACCAAGTCCCACCCGGCTCCTGCTCCTGTCCTGCGGTCACTCACTGGTGGGGGCCAGTACCCTGTCCTCACCCAGGCCTCAAACATCATCCCTCCCCTGCTACCTCTTCTCCCAGGATCATCTTCAAAGAGATCAAGACACTTCAAGTGACAGAATAAACCATTTCAGAGGCTTCTGCTTTCTGTTTGGAACATGGATTGGTGGGAAACAGAGCCTCCCTCACTTCGTGAAATCTAGGAGGAGAGCAAGAGAAATCCTGAAAATGCAAGGTATGAACATGCTACGGGCCACTATGGACTGTATAGGCTCTGTGGTAAGGCTGTGGGATATGACAAAGTGACAGACAGCTTGGAGCCCTGGCTCTACCTTTTACTCTCCGTGCGACCTTGCCTAGCTTCCTGGTAAATGGAGGAGATGACAGTACTATCCATCTCACAACGTGGCTGTGAGAACCAAGTGATTCATATCCAACAGTTAGTGCCCCGTGGAGACCCAGGAAGGCTCATCAGATGTTAGCTGTTATTATTATTCAGTCTGCTTTTCCGGAGGAGAACATGGAGCCTCCCTCACAGTGCCTCCTTTCCAGGAGGTTACTACACAGCAATCGCTGTCTCTGTCTCAGACCTAGTGATCTGCAAACCTTTCTATAACCATAGAGATTGGAAAAGAAGGCATGAAGAGAGGAGCTCTCGCTGTACAAAGCTTGCTGACCAAGAGTGTGGGTTCTGACTTTTGTCTGCCCAAGAAAGCAATAGTCCTGGAGAAGGGATTAGACTCTCTGTGACAACACCCTTAAAAGAACGACTAGTGGTGGGACATGTCCTTTGCTGATGGGGCTCTCATGAGAGGCATGCAGCCTGCCCGAGCACTGGGGTAGAAATCCTCTCTTCACCTGGTGTCATCTCTGAACTTTTGAAGCTATTTGCAATGTAAATTAGCTCTTATCTGTCATTCTTCCCGAGTTTCTCTTCTGTTATTAGCCTTTATGCAATTTTTAATGATGGATATTTTGTGTGTTTATTTATTCAAGGTCTGCTCTGCTGGTAGATTGCATAGCTCTTGAGGGCAAGGATTAAGAGTGTTTTATTGACCAAGCACAATGACTTAGCTTTAACTTTTTAATCTGTTAAATGAGGACAGTAATACTGCTTTTGTCCACCTCACTGAGCTGTGAAATTAAAAGAGATAATACTTGGGAAATGTCCTTGTAAGTCATGAATGAGCTTCACATATTAGTTATGCTTAGGGCTGTGTCTGTTTAAGGGGACATCACAGGCTGAGTACTTGTGATAATAGTGAGAGAGATTAGATGATAGTAGAAAGTCCTTGGGAGAGGATACACTGTGACAGCTCTTACTGCCTGAAGCCAAACACAGCAGTTCCCACCTCTAAAAATAGCCAGTTCACACAGTTCACTCAGTCACGATTGAAATAGTTAAACAGCAGTGAAGGCTGGAGGAGCCTAAGTGTGGGTGGCCGCAAGTGACCCAGAGCTGATGGCTTTGCTAGCTGGTTCTTCCTTTCCTACCGAGGGCAAGGGTGGACAATATGACACCCTCTCTTTCCACAACTGCGAGAGTGCGGGGTGAAGGAAGATGTTTCTGGAAAAATGGCTGCTATGACAAGCTTTTCACGGAGAGCAAATGGGAGAAGCGTGGACCTCTGCCCTCCAGAAGCTGCAGATACATGGGGCTTCACATTTGAAACAGGAAGGAGTTGGAGCCAGAGAGATGGAGTTGATGAGCCAGTTTGGGGAAAGAATCACTGTGCCTGGGGACCCAAATGCCAAGTGATCCAGGCGGTGGTGGTGCACATCTTTAATCCCAGTACTTGGGAGGCAGAGGCAGGCAGACCTCTGTGAGTTCAAGACCAGCCTGGTCTACAAGAGCTAGTTCCAGGACAGCCTCCAAAGCTACACAGAGAAACCCTGTCTTGAAGAAAACAAAAAACAAAACAAAACAAAAGATTTTGGGCAGTGGTGGCACACGCCTTTAATCCTAGCACTCAGAATGCAGAGGCAGGCAGATCTCTGTGAGTTCGAGGCCAGCCTGATCTACAAAGATACACAGAGAAACGCTGTCTTGAAAAAACCAAACAAACACAAAACAAAACCAAAACCAACCAACCAACCAAACAAAAACCAACCACAGAACCAAATGCCAAGTGATCACTAAATCAGGACAATAAAAAGAAAAAGATTAGACAGGACCCAAAGTAGATACAATTTCCTTCACCGAGCCACTCTGGGGTTTTGTTTCAATTCTCCAGGAGGAGTATGCCCCAATGAAGGCTAATCTTGATTACCAGCTTGATCGGCTCTGGAATCAATTAAGAAATATGTCCTTCCTTGAATCTGTAGGGGTGTTTTTTGTTTTTGTTTTTGTTTTTTTGCTTTTTGTTTTTTTTTTAAAGAAAGGATTAGCTAAGGTGGGAAGACTCGCCTTGAATACAGGCAGAACCATCACATGGACTGGGGCCCTGGGCTGGATACAAAGGAGAAGTAAAATGAGCTCTGACTCCCATCTCTGTTTCCTGACTGTGAATGCAATGTGGGCAGCGGCTCCTGCCATGGCTTCCCTGCCTTGATGGACTGTACATTCAATTGAGATGAAGACTTGCCTGCCTTGATGGACTTTGCATTCAAAGTGTGATCGGCGTAAGTTCCTCCTCCTTAAGTTGCCTTTGTCTGGCATTTTTTCACAATGAGAGAAACGTAGCTGATCTGAGGCCTCAGCTGCAACTGCATGGGGTGTCATCTGGGTGATCCAATGTGCACAGAGCTGTGGACTGTCTGTGCTTGTGTACATGCCTACAGCACTGAAGGTCTGTGGGAACATCAAACTCCCAGTGGTTGCCGTGGGAGGCCTTAGCAATGTGCTACTTTCATGCTCACAGAGGTGAGCAATGAGTTCAGTACAAGAAAGACACCAGGACACCATAGGCTAGGTGACGGTCAAAGGGGATGAAGAGAGAAGTGGGAAGGTGTTTTTGCCTGCTGGATCCTCAGGAAGATAAGACTTTGATTGAGAAAGAACAGAGGTCCTCGTGACAACACAGGAGGGGACAGGCAGGTGGCCCCGTGGGGATGGATGGGTGAGGAGAAATGGTACAAATTCATAATAACTTGTCTTTTAAAGATTGTTTTAACTGATACATAAAAACATAAACATGTACATATTAATTTGCATCTCGTAATATTTCATAAAGTTTTTGCTTTGTTTGTTTGTTTTTTGAGACAGTGTTTCTCTGTGTAACTGTTCTTGCTGTCCAGGAACTCACTTTGTAGATCAGGCTGGCCTTGAACTCACTGAGATCCACCTGCCTCTGACTCCCAAATGCTGGGATTAAAGTCGTGAACCACCACCACTGGGCTCCATAAATTTTAAACATCCTATCGTTTCTTTGAATGTGAATGTTTGGTCCTAGGCTGGGGTTAACTTTTCTGTTGTCTTCCATGGAATTGTGATCGCAGAAAGGGGCCTAGCTTAGGCAATGCTCCGTGAAAGTCCACCCACACCATCCAGGTTTACTGGTTACGGTTCCCCAGGGGTGAGGTGTGTTGTGTGTTGTGTGTTGGAGTAGAGGACAAGCTTGGGGTGAGGGCAGCCCAGAGAACTTCCCGCTCAGGAAACGGCCTCTGGAGCCCGTTGTTGGTAGAGCATGAAACTCGGGTGGCACCTAAATGGGCAAGACCAGACCAGCACCCAGAGAGGAATCACAGAGACCCAGGGCAGGGAGGGGACGATGTCTAATGCCACCACCTCAAGAACAGGGCACCAGCCCTCCCTCAGACAGAAGCCTCCGCTTGATATTGAAGAATCCCTGCAGGAAGGTGCTGGCCTCTCGTGACACAAACCGTGTAGACCAAAGGCACTTCTAGAAGTCACATGAAATAAGCAGGGCACTGGAATGGGTCCTCAGACCGAAAGTGCAGCCTGGGAGTTGGAAGCCCGGGAGGTGGAGACGTGGTTCCTTGTGCAGGACACAGGGGAGCTTTGTGCCCTAAGCAAGGACACGCCAGCGCCCCCCCCTCCCCAGTCCTCCCACGGCCAGGCAACATGCACAGGCTCTTCTTCTGCGCTCTGCTCATTACTGGACTGGCACAGGTAAGTCTTTGTTTTACAGCTGGGCTTCAGCTATACTTCTGCAGGCCCAAAGTACAACATCAAGGTAGAGATGGGGAAAGATGCGGGTAATTATTTCGGGGCCATTTTCCTTTCCAGGAAGTTCTGTTTTAGTTCAGGATTGATGCTCGACATTTCCCTCTTTGAGGTGTACGGTCCTCTAACGTTTGCTTGCAATCTGTGAACACTCCACAAACGTTACCTTGTATCTACTTAGAGAGCAGCCCCAGCTCCCTGATGGGTATTGCTGGGGGGAGGGGTCACAGCCCTAAACACTGTCCCTGTATTCCGGGTACAGACGCCGGCTCATCTTTCCATAGCTTGCAGTGTGCAAAGAGCCCCTGGAAAAACGGTTTGGGGCAATGATTTTTTCCCCCAGGTAAGTCTGTCCTTGTTTGAAAGGGGGCACTTAGGAAGGAACATTTAGTTTTTAAAAACGTATTATTACTTTGTCTTTTCTCAAACCTCGGGCTTCTCACTTTTTTGTGAGTGACTCTGTCCATGGAAAGTCGAACTGTTTCAGAGGGCAGATCAAAGGAAATTTAATTTAATATGAGCAATTCATTGCCTTAGTGTTTTTAATGAGATGATTAAGACAGGGCGACTTGTTTATTGATTTATTTACATGGTGAAGGTCATTCAGGCTGGCTGTTGGCAGGCTGGCACCGAGGACGGAGCTCTGACCTCTTCTGGTCACATAGAAAACATGCGGGAATGTAGAGTTAGCCCAGATTCTGGCCTGGGCAGCAGAGGTATTTTAGACAAGAAGGGAAGTTGTGACTCTGTTTAAGGATGTAAGGTTTCGAATGAGTCTGAAGGAGGCTGTCTGTCAGGGGGTGGGATTCTTCTCACTCTCACAGTTGGAACGCATTTCTTCAGCAGCTGCACAACCTGCTCGCTCCTGTTCTACATTCTGAGAGGAGGCAGGTGGTTGTTGTCAAGCGAGGGATAGGACATGTTCTTAAACAGTAAATATTCCAGCACAGAGAAATATGTACAGACTAGAAAACAAGTGTAAATATAAAAAGATACCGTGCTTAGAGCAGAAAATATGATTTTGTGCTTATTTTTGCCTGAATGATTTTTTTCCTTTTGGTCACTGGGATAAAACACCTAAGAGAAATAGCTGAAGGGGGGGGGAGGTTGGTGTTGGCTCTGTTTTAGAGGTTTTGGTCCATGGTTGTTGGCAGGCTCATTTCAGCCTCTGATGAGATACAACATGGCAGCAGAGGAGAAAAACCTGAGGAAGAGACGGGAGAAAAGGTGTAATGAATGACACCCCCCCTCCCAGACACCTTCTAGTTGTCCATTCATCTGAAAATCCATGAATGTGTGGATTCGTGGACCAGGTCATCATACTCATGATACAGAATCCATTTCTGAGCAACGGTGACCAGGCTTGTGTGTGTACATGTGGCAAACGTGTGAGCACACATGTGTGCAGGTGCTCATGTCCGTGTGGTGCTCCAAGTTCAGCATCGATTGCCTGTCTGGAGCCAGAGTTTCTCACCGAAACTGGAGCTTGCAGTTTCTAGACTGGCTGTCAGCAAGTCTGGGGGACTGACTCTTCTGCCTACCCCTAGACCAAGCTTTCCTAAGGCATACTGCCAAACATAACCAAGGGTTTGATGCCAAACACGGTGTAGACATTTAGTCAATATCTTAATCACCCTAACCCTCAAACAAGTGTGTATTAATCCCATTTCACAGAGGATTGCTACTCAAAGACCAAATAATAGGAATTTATTTAAGATCACAGATCTATGCCAAAGCTCAGATTTATTTTTAGAACGTTCTCATGCATCATTCTTGTGGTCCTCAAGACTTTGCTTTGGAAACTAATGTCTGAAAAGAAAAAAAAATATAAAATTCCTTATATTCTCAACATATTTTCTTTTTTGTGAATCTTACTTTTTGTGCTTTTGCATTGCAATTTATCATAATTTCCTTGGGCTTTTTTATGAGGTGAATCTGCTAACAAAACCAACCAAACAAAAACCCCACCCCAAAATACAACAAACCAACAAGCAAATAAAACCTCAGTTTCATTTGGAAATTTTTATTCCACCTTCATTAAAAAAAAAAAAAACTTTGTGTGTGTGTGTGTATGTGTGTGTGTGTGTGACTTTGGGTGTCCATCCTCACCCTCCACCTTGGTTGGGGCAGTTCTCCTGTTTCCTGATGCTAAAGATAGGTCAGGTGTCCCATTGCTTCTGGGGACTGTCCTGCCATCCCCTCCCATCTGGCATGTGGGGAGTACAGATGTCTACTCTGCATCACTCTGGCTTTATATGAGTTCTGAACTCCTGTCCTCACGGGTGCAGAAAAACAAAACAAAACAAAACAAAACAAAACAACAAAAAACCCGTCCATTGAGTCATCTCCTCGGCCCCATTTGCTTTCATTTGTGCTAGTTTCACTAGATACAGAATTCTAGGTTGACAGTTTTTTTTCTTTCTTTCTTTCTTTTACCATCATCTCTGGGCACCTTCACCCTTTCCTCCGGCTTCTTCTGCTAAGTCAGCTCTCTTCTGTAAGCAGTGTTTCCCTCTCTCAGGCTACTAGCACAAATTTCTCTTTTATTCATGGATTTTCCCCTGTGTTACCCTTTAATTTCTGAGATGGACTAAAAATATTTCAAGACTGGGAAAATAAACATCTCTATGTGGACAGTCTGGAGTGTGGATGTTACACGAGGGAGTGTATTAGTCACTTTCCATTGCTATGGCCAACATGCCTGGCAGAAACAATGTGACTCCAGGTTTCAGAGGATCTGCCCTTCGTGGTGGTAAAAACAGTTCGTATCAGTTCGTATCATGATGGCAGAGGCTGTTCACATTATGGTGGACCAGATGGGAAGCAGGCAGGGATAAAGGGATAATTTTGCCATACTCCACAGTGGCATATTTTTTTCAGTAGATCTTCCCACCTCTCAAGTTTCTCAGCCCCACCCCCAGGCCAATTTTTCAAAACAGTCTGTGGTTTACATTTCAAATACAATCATATAGAATGCCATTTAATATCTGTGAAATAAGAAAGAGTAGACCTAGCAGCATGAGGGCAATGCAATAAGTAGGATTAGCCATGGCATGGCTATGGTGTGATGGAGAGGGCCTTGGCCCGATGACTCCAAATACTGTCTAGGTGAAAGATGAATTTCGAATCCCCATTTTTCTTAAAGGACATTTGGGTATCCATGTCCATTGGGTAGTCAGCTGTGTGGGCCTACAGGTCAGTGGAGAAGTCTCTACTGTGGATTCGGTGTTGAAGGTGTGTAGCACAGGGAGAAGACAGAAGATGGGGCAGGGAAGGAGACTGCCAGATGGTAGTATGCAGAAATGAGCAATGTGTCAAAGTGACAGCTGGTGTGTCTAAGTCCAGCAGAGGCTAACGGGCAGGGCGATCTGGGATTGTCAGGTGTAAGGAAACCAAGGGAAAGGATTTCACCCAGGAGCAGGAGGCACTTACTTGTGCCTAGTGAGGACGGAGTGACATGAAGCGATGTAAAAAGTCAGTGTGGATGCTGAATACAGGTGACTGTAAAGGAGGCTCTTTCAGCTATCCAAGTGCAGACTAATAGTGGATTGGATCATGGTGTTAGGAGAAAGGAGATTGAGGCCACGGATAGTGGTAGTGATGTATTTTAAAGGATTGATTGACAAGATTTGTCAATGAGATTAGATGTGAAAATGTTGGGCCAGCATGACCCAGTGTCCTATGTGTTTTGGGAAAATACAATGGGCATTTGCTCAAATAGGGAAACGTATAGGTGGAAAAGATGACTGGAGGACAATGGAAAGTTTGCTCTGGCTCATTTACCATCTAAGTGGGGGGTAGGCAGCTAAGCAGGCACTTTTAGTGAGTTCAGAAGAGTGAGCTGGTTGGGAAATGAGATGGAGTTCCAAGCAGAGCTCAGGGGGATGAAAACCAAGCATCTCAGGAGTCTGAGGAGCAGTGTGGGGGAGGAAGAGAAAGAGCGATGTCTTGGAAACCCAGTGAGGAGTCAGGCAGTGGCCACGTCAAATACTGACATTGAAACTCACCAGACTGTCAAATGCTGGCATTATAATTCACCGCCTATTTGGCACACATCTCCTACGGCCCTGTGTGTAGTCTTGGGAACTTTTTCTAATGACACCTTTATCATCAAATGAAGCTGTGCTGCAGGGCGCAGGACACTGTGCCATCAGACACGACCCCGGAACACGGGCCTGGAGAAGCATCACAAGTGCGGAAACAAGTCTGTCACTGGCCCTGCAGATGTCCTCCTCAGAAGCCCAGTTGTCCTCCTGGGGTGAGCTTGGTGAGGGATGGCTGTGGATGCTGCAAAATATGTGCCAAGCAACGAGGAGACTTGTGTAATGAAGCCGACCTCTGCGATCCACACAAAGGGTTGTACTGTGACTACTCGGCTGACAAGCCTAGGTACGAGACAGGAGTGTGTGCATGTAAGTGTCTTTTGGGCCCACCAGAAAAGGCTGAATTGAGACACATTCGCCCACCCAATGCTAAATCAGAGTGTGGATTTAGTGTGGCTAAATACAAGATGGATGCAGTTGTGCACCAGTGGGCTGGCTCAGATGTACTGGATAACGTATGAAATTCATAAACAAACATTTGAAAGCCTATCATAGTTACACAGTTCTCAGGTTGTTGGCTTTTTGTTGTTGTTTTGTTTTTGAGACAGGATCTCTCTACACAGGCCTGGTTGCCCTTGAACTCACTCTGGAGGCCAAGCTGGTCTAGAACTCATAGAAACCCACCTGCCTCTGCCTGGAGTGCTGGGATTAAAGGCATGTACCACCAAGCCTGGCTCAGATAGCTGCTTTTCATGATGAAATATAGGGAAAAATCATGTAACTAGGGTCTGACTTCAAAATGGCAGCTGTTGTTAATACTGTCTAAAATTAATTTGAATTCAGTCTTTCCTGTGAGAAGACAGCAACCCTCTTTCAAAATGCATGGGTGTTTCTCTTCAGATGGAGGAGGAGTGGATAGGGGGAGGGAGACTGGGAGGAGAGGAGGGGAACTTAGGCCAGGATGTGAACAGAAACATACAAAACTCTTGGATGTAAAACGTGAGGATGTAGACGAGGTTCACTTTCTGCTTTCCTCTCTGACGAGCTGTGATCTAGCTTCCCACAAGTGGCTTCACATAATGTAGTGATGTATTGTTTGTGATTTATTAAAACCACCGGAGATCAAAATAACAAAGCAGCCACACTAGTTAGTCATAGAAGCCAGGTACATACCTTTAATCCCAGAACTCCTGAGACAGAGGCAGATGGAGCTCTCTGAGCTCAAGGCCACCCAGGGATGCATGAGATTGAATCAGTCTAAAAGAGAAACAGAGCTCAAGCCTTTAATCCCAGCACTAGAGAGGTATAAAGATAGGAACAGGGTCTTCAGTGGTCAGTATGAGGATTCTCCATCCACACTGAGGAGAGGCAGTAGCCTGAGGCTTGGTGAGAGCCCTTGGAGACAGGATCAGCCCTTTCAGCCTGAGGTAGATGTAAGAGCCAGTGGCTTGGTTGCTTTGCTTTTCTGATCTTCAGCTTGAAGCTTGAATCCCAGTATCTGTCTCTGGGTCTTTTATGTGCAACAACATAAAACATGAGATCTTTAACAGCAGATGGGGTGGAGGGGAGGCAATCCAGAACTAGGACTTCAAACTACTGCCCGGGGCTAAACCTAGACCATAGCTTGGCCTGTGGCTGCTGCCTCACTGGGCACAGCTCAGCTGTTTGCAATCTATGCCTGCTGCACAAAGCAAACCAGTGTAGAGACCACACGGCCTGGAGTGACTAAGCCATTCAGTCTTTTATGGAACATTTGCTGACTTCTGATGTAGAACATCTACTGCCAAACTCCTGTTTTAAAGTCTGGAGACCTCCTACAGTCCTAGCAATCCTCCAGGACTAGAGCTTCCCACTAATGAGGGCTTTTGTCAGTTGACATTTAACGGATTTGTAATTTTGAAATTCATTGAAATGAAACGCACCTAATATAAGCTGATAGTAGTAATACATTTTCTTTAAAAAGACTATTACTGACAGCAAGATGATTAGTGAGGAGAATGCTGTTTTATGTTTTTGTAAACTCCCCTGATGTCTGGCTCAATAGATGAGTAGATCTTCACATTTGTCTCTTTGCCAAGCTGTTTGCCTTTCTGGATGAAATCTGAGGAAAACTTGGCTTCACACAGATATGCAATTAGAAGAGGCTGGACCACAGTAACTCATGCACACACTTGGATAGATTCAAGTGTGACAAGTGGCAGCACCATAGAAATTAGTTGCATTATGGGATCTGAGACTAAGTCAATGAAATTTTATTTCTAACAAAATATCCCAAACTCACTGGGCTGGCTCACATGTAATTTTAGCACTAAGGAAGCTGAGACAGGAGGATTGGGAGTTTGAGGCCAGCCTGGGCTACTTGGGAAGACCCCTTCTTTTAATTTTTTCATGTGTTTGGTTGTTCAGCTTTCATGTATGTCTGTACATCACATTTGCAGTTGGCCCCTCTCAGAGGTGAGAAGAGGGTACTGGATCCCTCAAAACTGGAGTTAGAGAGGTGGGTGCTGCAAATGGAACCCAGGGGAGATCATATCTTAAAAACCCAAAACAAATACAAAATCCACTTGGACTTGGTCTTTGACTCATTCATGGCTTTTTGTCAATTTCTGCTCTGGGTATTTGGAAAGTATCAGTTTCCCGATCATAAATAATACATATGTGTTTTAAACTATAACTCTCATCAGAAAGCCATAAATAATAAATATATGTTCTGTAAATAATCACTCTCAGCAGAGAGTTGACACATTTGGTAGCTAGAAAGATCTCAGTGGTGGATATCAGTTTTCCAAAATTCTTTGACTTGAAAGTGTGACTTATGTCACTGGCAACAAATACTTGGTTTTCTTAACAGTGACAGCTAGTGACAAGCTTCTGTCCATTTTCAAGACAACATCCCCACAGTACCCGTCTGAACACCCACAGTTTATTCGACAGCTATTTAAGGAAAGTTCCACTGAAGACTGGATTCCGTTTTCTTCTAACACTATTTTTTCAGAGCTCTACTAGTGCTGGGATTAAAGGTGTGCACCACCAACATCCGGCTGCTCACTGACTACTTTATGTATTTACTTTGTCATACAGAATATAAGTGAACAGAAAAGGGTAGGGCTTAATAAAGTTAGTCTATTTTACTGTGCCACCTAGAACACTGTTAAGTTAAGCTAGCTTTATCTTTCTAAGTACCAGTGCACAAGAGGCAGAACAGACACTGCCTATACTGCCCAAGTCATGCTAAGCCATCAGCCCCAGCCACTGCTGACTATCCCACTGAGTCAAACATGAAGGACAGAGCTGATTACATCCCAGCGTCGTGAAGAGTTCTGACTTTGCAGATACTTTGAAAATAGGACAGTTATTCCTAAGGGGCTAGTGGGACACATTTGGAAAGTCATTGATCCTGAAAGGGAATAAAGTCCTTGGAGGATGCTAAAGTCTCCTTCAATTTTCAGTTACCCTGTAGTATTACGGTTAAACTATGCTTTCTTTAGACCACCAATGGATACAGTCTGGCTTGTGTTTGTGCATCTGGGTAGAATTGTCTCACCAGGCATCAACCATTGATTTATAACCATCTCACTGCCAAGCTTAGGACTTTTAATAGCTGCCTTTATTCCAAGTAGAGCTTCTAGGTTTTGTGGAAATGACCATTTGGGGTTAATAGCCTATACAAAAATACAAACACCCCGGGGCTGGAGAGATGGCTCAGAGGTTAAGAGCACTGACTGCTCTTCCAGAGGTCCTGAGTTCAATTCCCAGCAACCACATGGTGGCTCACAACCATCTGTTATGAGATCTGGTACCCTCTTCTGGTGTGCAGATATACATGGAAGCAGAATGTTGTATACATAATAAAATCTTCAAAAGAAAAAATACAAACACCCCTTTTTAAACTTTCTATAGATGCTCTGTAGAGAGATTCCAAAGTGGCTTAAGGAATTAGCCAACCACATTGCTAAGAGACAGCTTCAATTGGAGTAGGTCTATACAGTTTAATTAATTTATTTTGACAATCTGCTGCTATTTTCTTTTCAGATCTTGTGGCTGTCGGATGTGAGTTCAACAGGGTCCATTATCAGAATGGCCAAGTATTTCAGCCCCACCCACTGTTCAGCTGCCTCTGTGTGGGTGGCGCTATTGGATGCACACCCCTCTTCATACCGAGACTGGCTGGCAGCAACTGTTCTGCAGCTGAAGGTGTAAGGAGACCTGGTACAGCCAACTGTGGCCTGGGACCACTGCAACAGGGGCACTCAGCAGGCTACAGAGCAGTGCCAGGTGATCCTCAAAATTGTAGCCCAGGGCCACTGTAACAGGGGCACTCAGCAGGCTACAGAGCAGTGCCAGGGATGCTCTCACGGACGACTTCCTGTGGTTCTTCCCTGATTCCTTTTATGTACCATAGGCAGTTAAGAACTCACCGGCTGCTGGCTAGTGATTTACAGTGAGTGTACCACTGAAGTGTTTGCCTCAGGCAGGTATATTCCAGGTGTCTGAAAAGAAAACTTAATGTTTTGGTTTTGGGGATAACGTAGTCTGATTCTTAAAACCTACTAGATCAAGAAACTTCTAAAATCTTACACCTCAGTTTATCCCCACCCCCTTCTTAGGAAAACTGAACAAACACTGCTCACATGTACCCTAAAAACCTTTCATTTGTAATCTATTGTGGGCAAGAAGTTTGACTGCCCAGTTCCTGCATTTTCAAAGTTTTTTATATGGTCTAGCAGAAGTGGCAAGTTGATTTAAGAACTTTTTTCTTTGAAGACTAACACATTCTGAGGTTCAAAAATATTATTTTCAGAACTAGAAAAAATATTTTGAACGTATCATTTTCAAAAACAGCTCTAGTCTTCTTGTTCACTTTAAAGCAGGCCACTATGTCTTAGTCAGGTCGCAAAGCAAGAATCCCAGGTGCTCACCGTGAGCAGTAAGTGACTGAAGGCGTAAATGATGTCCTACTTACACACTGGAGAATTTTCCAGACAGGAGTACCTCTAGGCTCAACTTCATTATGTTGTTATCAGCTAAATGAGTTTTAGATATTTAAAAATACAACAAAAACATCCTCAGGGACTCCAGTTATGACCATTTACCAGGTTGTTTACATGATCCCTCTGCTAACAGCATGACATTACTAATGCTCTTAAGAACTCTGAAATAGTAAGCTAAAAGGAAGTGAGACAATCTCCTAACTCTGGCATTTGAGATTTAGGCCTCAATGTTTCAAAGGTATGCTAAGTCTACCATGACTCTCCTCCTTTGCTTACTTGTAAAAATGCATTTATGACCATTTGGGAATTTGGCTTTCATGGCGAATGCCAGTGAAAGCATATGCCTTTAAAATGTATGTGTGATAATAACTAATGCTGTCTATGATTGGAATCTGGCTTTTGTTGGGTCAGTACAAAGCAAGCAATGGCAGAATCCCTCACAACACTAAGCTTTTATTAATCCCATAATTTCTTTGCTTTTTAATGAATGTTGAACAAATTCCTGAACTGCAGGCCTTGGTTTAACTGTAAACAGGGTTATTAGCAATGCAATAATCTAAGTTACCTTTATCTATTGCAGATATATGCCCAGCTTCTAATCTGCTTCCTGAATTGAGGTCTTTAACTGTTGTCTGCCTCCAGGTATCTTTGTTTCCACTTCCTGTTGCTCAGCCATGTGAGAGCGAGTACAAGGTCTCACTGTTACAATGAGGGCAGCATTGTGATGTCGCTTTCATCAGACAGCACATGCTTCAAAGTGACTGGTACTTTCTGTTGAGGTGGTTTTTTATTTGTTTTTCCTTTTTTCTTTTTTCAGCTTTAAGTTGATATTCTCCATGTACAACTATGCTGTTAACTGTGGGCTCAAAACACCACCTTCTTCCCAAAATATCAATTTTAGGATGTACATTAACTTTGAAGAAATGCCTTGGGTAACAAACCTATTCTGTTTATTTCCTACGAACCAAGTGGTGTGTTTCACTGTAGTACAATAAAAGTCTCCTAATGTTTTCATGGAGAATTATTATGGAAGGGTTATCATCTTTTCCCTGTTTCTTCTAAGCAGTAGACACCATTCATCCAGTTGCATTGCTGCCCTAAGTATTCCTTCCATAGGTGATTGTAAGTGGGCCCATGGGCCTGACAAGAGGGAGCAACACAATTTGGACGAAACAGACATTTGCTATGATTTAGTATATAAAACTAACTTAGTGCAGTGTAGTGTTAATTCAGTTCATTATAAACTTCCAAGAAGGACAGGTGAGACTTGCTGTGCAAGCCTGGTGACCTGAATTTGAGCTCCCCATAAAGGGGAAAGGACAGATGGATGACAGAGTGGTCCTGACCTCCACAGGCACACCTGAGGCCTGTGTGCCTCACGCTGACTAAAATTTCCTCAGAGTAGGTTTTAAAGTGGAAGAGAACTGATTTAATTGTCTCATTTTTTTTTTTTTTTTTTTACATTTTTAACAGATCACAAAATTTAAATACTAAGATCATACTATTACATCAGCCATAGTGATACAGGCATGGTGCCTGTATTCCTAACGCTTGGAAGGTAGAAGGATTGCAAGTTAGCGGGCAGTCTGAGCTACACAGCAAAACCATTTCTCAAGGAAAGAAAAGCCACACTAATCTGAATTCCCTAATCCTGCCAACGTTTACTTTGGTATCTGCTGGAAATATCAGGCAACAGCAAACAAAAGTTGGGCACTGATAGGAAGCAGTACTATACCTGAGACAGAATGATGCCAGCAGGTGAAGAGGAGTCTTTATTCCCTAAGAAACTTAGGTACCGGCAAGGGAGGATGACTTAGAATATAATCGTTCATCCTTTCACACAAAAAGCCTTAGAACTTTTAGACACTGACTTTTTGTTTAAAAATTAAATCCAGGTTAAGTACATATGTGCACACATATGCCCCCCCCCCCCCATTTATGTTAGCTTACAGGAACCTCCCGCTTACGTGGAAAAAAAAATGCCTTGTGCAAGCAACCAAGTGGACTCCCTGCTCCAGAACGTGTGGAATGGGAATTTCTAACAGGGTAACCAATGAAAACAGCAACTGTGAAATGAGAAGCGAGAAGAGGCTATGCTATATCCAGCCCTGCAACAGTGATACATCAGAGGCAGTGAAGGTAAAGTACAACCAGATTTAACTGAATTACGCTTCAATGTTAAAAAGTTTCTGACAAGTCAAATTATCTCAGAGGACAACAGGGGTTGATCCAGCTCATCTCTGCAGGGAAGATGTTATATAGTAGTGATGTTAACCTGTTGATTGTAGGTGTTCTGTCAGTTTAAAGTGGGTCTTGCTGGGTGGTGTTGGTACACGCCTTTAATCCCAGCACTCGGGAGGCAGAGGCAGGCGGATCTCTGAGTTGAGGCCAGCCTGGTTTACAGAGCAAGTTCTAGGATAGCTATGGATACACAAAATCCAAGAGCGATCTACTCTGAAGGAACGGTATGCATGGAGGTTACAAGAGGCTGGCTGCTCAAGACCCATACTGTTTGTTTGGTTTTTGTTTTTTTGAGACACGGTTTCTCTAACCTTTTTCTTGTTCATACTAACTATAGAAGTGGAACCACAGTATTGAACATAACTACGGCTGTTACACTATAACTATGAAAACAGAAGTTCTGTTCACGGTTACATATGACAGTTGTCTTGGAGGACACACCAGAATGTTCTGTGCATGTTAGAGTAAACTTGCCAAAGGACATGTTACCCTACAACTGACATAAACTTGTAGAGCTGGTCCTCTTTCTTGATCAAGGCAAGAGAATTACCTTTTTATTTGTTTATGTTTTTGGAGACAAGGCCTGTATATTGCCTTGGAACTCACTATGTAGTCTAGGCTGGCCTTAAACTCAGAGATCCACATAGCTCCTGAAATGTAACAAAATAAGTAAGTTTCCATTTGTCATAGACGTGAATAAAAGATGGAATGAGAAGCACCAGACAGAGAATCTGATAGCATGATAGGGCAAGGATATTTACAGAGAAGAGGGTCCTAGATGTCACAAACAACTATTGTTAGTGCCTCCCAAATAATTGATCTAGTGTCTGTTATAAAATTCTAAGTCACTTTAAGCAAATTTGAAGCATGACTTTTTAACTTTACTCATCTTTTCAGATCCCCAGAGGGAAAACCTGTCAACCCACTTTCCAACTCTCCAAAGCTGAAAAACTCGTTTTCTCAGGATGCTCAAGTACTCAGAGTTACAGACCCACCTTCTGTGGGACATGCCTGGATAGGAGGTGCTGTGTCCCCAACAAATCTAAAATGATCACCGTTCAGTTTGACTGTCCCAACGAGGGGTCATTTCAGTGGCGGATGCTCTGGGTCACATCTTGTGTGTGTCAGAGAAACTGCAGAGAACCAGAAGATATATTTGCTGAGCTCAGGCTTCTATAGAGCCAAACACACAGGAAAGTTTAAGGCTAAGTCATTTATGCCACATAATCAAAAAACTAAAGTAGCTATAAAAGGGTGAAAAATTTATTTAATGGATTTAAAACAGAAAGAACCACTAGTCATTCTTTGGTTGCTTTATTTCAGACACAACAAGTTTATAAAAAATATTCTAATAAAACAAAAAGGAATGCCTGAAAAAATTTAAATACAACTCATTTCTTGAGTATAACCTATAATTATATAATATATACATACATACATGGTACCATATAAGGATTTCATATATAATAAAAAATATAATTTACAAGAAAGTATTTTATATAAATATAAAAAGACATAATTTAAAATTTTATTCTGTACTTGGCAATGTAGCCTATCAGATCCTATTACATGATAATTAGAAGGAAAGCAAGATTCTTAAGAATAAGCTACTATAACTATAATTTTCATTGCCATGTTCTGATATCAGTTAAGATTTTTCTAGGAAAGAGAAAACAGAATGTCTGGGTACTGTTAATAACAGTAATATTGCAGTTTTTACACCAAATACTATAAAAAACTAAACTATCAATATAAAAACCAAAAAGAGAACAATTACTAAACAAAGGAAAGAAACATAAATATTAATAAACAAAGCAAACAACAGATCATTTTTTCTTGAAAAGAATTTTTTCCCCAAAAATTATTTCCTTGAAGGATAAACCAATCAATGGATCTGAAATATAAATCGTGTCTAAAAACAACATTAAAGATTCAAAAGATTATGGAGACTGAAATAATTTCAGTAGATAATAACCATTTACTATAAAATTCAGATAAAGATACCAAGCTCAGCAATGCTCTGCTCAGTGTGCCAAAGGTGACATGATAAACAACAATGAGTAGCGCTGTTTGAACATTTGCTTTTAAGTTGTGATATCTTGAGTATAAACATGTTATTACTCAAAGAACAAAACAGTCTCATCAGTTTTAATAAAAACTACCACCCAAAAGTCCATAGATATTACATACACTGTGCATTCTTCCATTCCTAGGACCTGCATTTTCAGCATTTAAACAGAGTATGAAAACATAGAGTATAAATATAAAAAGGTATGTACCATCTTCCTGAGGTATTCACCAATGTGCAACAGAATGCAAGACGAAGCTATAAATGAAGCAAAGCCATGAAGAACCTCTCTTTCAGTGTAGCCCAGGGTGGCCCCGAACACACAGTTCTCCTGCATGCCAGACACACTGGGATTACCTGTATGAACCACCATGCCAGGCCCTGTCTTAATTTTGACAAATCGTTAGAAATGACCACACACACTGGTACAGAAAAATTATGACAAAATAGAAACCATTGTTTCATACTGTGAAAAATAAATTGGGCTTTCTGAATCACAGGAAATGCTGGAAGATGAAGGGGAAAAAAACCAATGTGAATCAGAAAAAAGTAACAATACATTTTTAGCTTCTTCCTTCACATGGCCACACTTAGCCTAGGCACGTCTGGCACAGGCATGCTCTTGGTGGCATCAAGTTCATTATACTCCTGTATGAGCGCTGACAGAGAGGACACAGCTTCTGCAAAAGCACTTTCCTCCATCCCGTCAACTTGCAGATAGTGATGGAGATGAGCCTGTAACCAAAGAATTGCAACACTGCCATCTCAGGAACTTCAGACATACAACTACCCCCATAAAGCAAATACTGTGAAAATATAGGTCATTCACCCATCCCAACTTGGGAGCTATAAGCAGTTAATGGTTGCTGGTGAACTTGTAAGTAGCCCTGCTTAAAAGTAAAAGCCCCACCCATGCTCATTCAAGGAACCCTAATTCACTTACAGTGGAGGAAACACACACACACACACACACACACACACACTCGCGCCTGCACACACAAGGTAGGAGGAAGATTGAGAAACAGAAGGGGTTCCATTGGAGGGGATTGGGAGGGAAATATGCTCAAAGTAGGTACTATGTATGTAGGAAATAGCAAAAGATTTAATAAATTAAAAAACAACATACAGCATGAAGCTCTAAACAGGAAGCAGGAACTTGAGTAAAGTCAGTGCCTACAGATGTGTCCACTAGTACAAGAGCGGCCTGACTGATGCGGGTAATCAACTCCCTCCACTGGAGCTGTAATCCAGGTCCAAGACTCAGGAGGTCACAGGATGTAAGGGACAATCTTTGCCATTGTTTTGCTAAATGAACATGTTGTAAAACTGTCCATTTATATTTATATCCATAGAATATGCTGCTTTCAATATCGGTCACAAAGGTTTTTTTTTTTTCTTCCCCTTCCAGTGGACAGTGCAGAGACTCATAACTAGTCCAAATGGGAAGAATAATTGACAATTGAATACTTAGCTATAAATGGGATATCTGTGGAATCCTTCTGTCCCTCACCCCTGCCTCACCAAGGCTTAGGGCACACAGTGTGAAAGACAGAAGACAGTGTGAAAGACATAAGCCAGAATATGGGAAAGAGTGAGGTGAGATTGTGTTCTGGACGTGGCATGGCCAGTATGCTCATGACCTGAGGCAGCTGTGGTTACCTGCATAAGATTAGCCTGCCAACAGTGTAACTTGGGCTGGGGAGGGGCTCACGAGGCCCCACCCCTAATGAAGTGCTACTGGTAGTTAATGTTTGCTAGAGAGGAGGGAGTCATTCTTGCTCAGTGATGCAGCCACTAATAAACTGCCCATCAGTAAAACGCCACACTCGTGCTCATGCAAGCAACCCGAGTCAAACTCAGTGTGTCACTAGGAAAAGAAATGAAACTCGGGAAGACTTGTTGGGAAGACGCAGTCCAAAGGGAGTGGGGTGGGGAGAGGGCAGTGTGGGGAATAAAATCAGAATACATTATACACATTTGTAAAATTGTTGAAGAATAACTGATTTCTTTTAAACAAAATTAGTATATTGCCTAAATCCTATGAATTCATAGAATGTCTCATTTAGATATAAAATAGCATAGGTGAACTTCTCTGCTTAGAACTAGTGTAACAGAATGCTGGGCACTTTAGCCCTGACTTCCAACACATCTTACAAAGTAATGCAGTCACAGAGGTGTGTCAGTACCTTCTTCTTGTAGAGCCTCATGAACCTTTCTCTCAGTTCCATGAAGGTGGGCTTCACACACGTGTTGTTTGCTAAAGCTAATAATGAATGGGAGTGACCCACAGGCGGTACTGAACACAGGCTAGTCTTCCAGCCTTCTTGATTCCAGGAAACAAATTGCAGAGCAGGTTTTAATCTGAGACACAAAAACCCTCAGGTAAGAACTAAGGTACTAAAAACGTTACATGTTACAGCAGCTCAGTCCACACAGGCAAAACAAGGACATCAGCAGAAGCATCAGTCTAACTTCATCGTTTAGAATCTGCCATCTGTCTTTAAAACCGGCAGCATCACGTGACAGGATGATGAAGCATCTTGTATTTCATCTAGTGCTTACAAAAACAAGGCTTTGTAATTAGGGAGCCACTTACCTCCGGTCACATTTTACTGTAATTTGAAAAAGGCTTTCTTAACTACTATGCATTACAGTGTCCCAAACTGTCCACGTGAATTATCTTCAAAATAAAAGACAAACCTTTCAATATTTCTTCGAAGATCTGAGATCTGTACATTCCCTCTAACGATGAGGGCACAGGCGAGGTAGAGACTATGTCTGGGGTCTGCTTGAATGAGTTGGTGATCTTTACTGAAGGCATCGGAAAACATCTGGTCCAATCTACAACAGGAAAGTACCATTGTTTACACAAAATGTATCTCTTTCTTCTAAACATAATCGTATAATGAAAACATATGCTGGTATGACAGCCTCTGGTTATCTACATAGAGCAGATGTAGAAAACCAAAAAAACACTAAACCTTAACAATAGAAAAGGACACCAGGACAATTTAGTATAACATTTTAAAAGGTTCTTGTGGATTTTTGCTAAAACACTTTAATGAAAATCAGCCACCACAAACTGTCATGATTAAAATTAAAAGGTTGATATAAGCATTATTTATATCAAAATATACCAAGCAGATTACAGAACATTTCATTGACTTTGAACATTTAAGTTAGAGGATCAAGTCAAACAGGTTCCTTTTCATTATGCTGAACTTATATAAAGATTAACTTTAAATATAAAAATTATACTACATAATAGTTTATTACTGCTGAGTGTGGTGGCACATGCCTTTAATAATCCCAGTGCTCAGGAGGCAGAGGCAGGCATACTTCTGAGTTTGCCTGGTCTAAAGAGTGGACTCACAAGATGGCCCAGCAGATTAAGGTGCTGCTTTCAAGCTTGGCAAGTGGGGTTCAATTCCTGAGAAAGTGAATTCCACAGGTGTTCTCTGCTCTTCAAACACTCCATAGCACACACAAAATAAAAATGTAAAGATGTAATCAAGACAGTAATACGTGTGTTTGTCTGTGCACCACCACATGCAAACCTGGTGATCCTGGAGACCAGAAGAGGGCATCAGAACCCCTGGAACTGGGGTTACAGTTACTTGTGAGCCATCATGTGGGTTCTGGGGATTCCCAGGGCTTTATGAACCCTAGGCAGCACTCTACCAACTGGGTGACATGCTAGCCAGTTTTGTTGTTTTTTGTATTTTTGAGACTGTCTCACTATGTATCCCAGACTGGCCTGCAATACCAGGTGTGTAACACCAAGCCCAGCCTAAAAACATTTTTCCCCCTTTTTTTATTCTTTTGGGGGGACAGGATCTCACCATGTAGATCTGGCACACCACTTGCTATGTAGATCAGGGATCAAAGGGGAGTGTTACCAAGTCTGGCCCTAAAAGCGTCTTTGAGGTGGTTTGAAAATGATATGCAATGGCTACCATATAAAAGCCTTCTATGGTGCTTGGCTGTGGTAAGAAGTTTAAAACAGGGGCTGGAGAGATGGCTCAGAGGTTAAGAGCACTGGTTCCTCTTCCAGAGGTCCTGAGTTCAATTCCCAGCAACCACATGGTGGCTCACAACCATCCGTTATGAGATCTGGTGCCCTCTTCTGGTGTGTAGATATACATGGAAGCAGAATGTTGTATACATAATAAATAAATAAATAAAATCTTAAAAAAAATAGAAGTTTAAAACATAATTTAATGTACCCACAAACAGTAAGATGAAGAATTTAAGACATTTGCCCAAGATCCTACAGCTGGCAACAGAATCAGGATTTAAGTCTGCCAGATTCTATTAATTTTCAAAGTCTAGAAATCTAGTTACCAGGTTTAGTTTCAGTGTAATACTAACATTTTAAAACAACCTGCTTCTAAATAAATATTTGCCTAATGAAAAATGACTGCCATTAACTACATTTCTTTTAAAGATTTATTTATTATGTATACAACATTGTGCTTCCATATATGCTTGCATGCCAGAAGAGGGCACCATATCTTATTACAGATGGTTGTGAGCCACCATGTGGTTGCTGGGAATTGAACTCAGGACCTCTGGAAGAACAGCCAGTGCTCTTAACCTCTGAGCCATCTCTCCAGTCCCCATTAACTACATTTTATATGTTCTCAGCAATAAAATGATATAAATAACCCAATTTAATATAAACTTTTTTCACTGAAATTTCACTTCAAGTTCTCCAGAAAACGCAAGCCAGTTCTACCTTACCTTCGAGGGGGAATGTTAACATCTGCCAGAGTATACAGAGGTGTAAGGCTTGACACAAGATAGTGAAGTTGAGGGAAAGGAACCAAGTTCATGCTGATCTCATTCAAGTCCATATTCAGGGATCCCTCAAATCTCGCAGAGCTAAAAGTCAACATTACAACAATAAGAATCATTTTCATTTAATTCGCAGGTCATTTTATCAGATTCCTTGTTACACTGATCAGAGCAGAATGGAGCCTTTGTTTCTGAATCACCGAATTTACTATCATAGACAGTCACATGGAAGGCTAAAATACAACAATGCCTAGCAATTTTTATTTCTAGATTTCTAACCTGCAAGCAACCTCTATTACACTTGTTCATTATACATGTAAAAGTATCCTATTTAAACAGACTTTATATTTTGTTAAACGCATACAGGTCAATTATTTACTGTGGAAATTTTATTAAGTTTATCAAGGGTGTGATTAATATACTCATAATCATAATCTTAAATACTTGAGATATTTGATACCCAAGCCACAGAATTGTTTTGGATCCAGTGACAAAGATGTATAGGCCAGCTGGTTTACAGCAGTGGCAGCATCCACCATGAGACTGCTGATCACAGAACTCCCACTAGTGTTCCAAGTAACACACTTGGAGAAAGGCTGGCTTATCACTCCAACACATGAAAATACAACACAAAATGAGCATTTGGGAAGCACAAATTGGCCTTGATGGGAACAAAACACAGACACAAAGTTGGACAGAGTAAGGGGCTATGAGGGTGAGTATGACCAAATTATAAGAAATTTTCAAAGAACTAATAAAGTTTCAGACAAATCTGGACAGAAAAACAATAAAGAAGCTCCTACAACTTAGAATAACTAAATAAATGTGACTGGAGGTTGGGGAGAGGGGACTGGAGAGATGTCTCAGAGGTTAAGAGCACTGACTGTTCTTCCAGAGGTCCTGAGTTCAATTCCCAACAATCACATGGTGGCTCACAACCATCTATAATGAGATCTGATACCCTCTGCTGGCATGCAGGTATATACTCAGGCAGAACACTATATACATAAAAAATAAACCTTAAAAAACAACAACAACAACAACAAAAAACCCAAAAAAACCTGACTGGGTTGGGCCTGTAGCTCAGTGGTTCAGAGCTTGTTTCAACATGTTTAAGGGCTGAATTTAGCAGTGTCCCCAAATCAAAGAAATAAAACACCATTAGACGTAAACATCACACAGGCACAGTGACTTTGCCAGCGTCTTGTCCTAAGAGGGTTACCTTGTCAGGCTGAGGAGCAGATTGGCCACAATGTTGTTCATTGCATCAAAAGGCTTCTTGTGGCGCTTTGTTACAGTCCCCACATTCGAAGTAACAAGGCTCTTAGGCTTCACAGTTGTACCCAACTTTCCAGAATTTACCACAAGATCAATTTTGCTAATGATGTCAAATAAAGACTTGAGAAAAAAAATATTGGGTAAGAAACTTTAATGAATGACTGAGAAAACTGAAGAGAATACTGAATAAACACGAAAGCATGTGACACAGAATTACATGCATGTAAAATGTGTTTGTCAAGTCCAGTACCATGTCTTACTTGGTTGTCAATGGGCAGCACACAGTCTGCATGCTCATTCAGTTCCTTCATGGCCAGCATGCTATTATAAGGTGAGGTGATGACATCGTCCTCGTTGGAAGGATAAACCGCTGTCACAAATCTGTACACTTCTGGGAATTCATCTTCAAGCACCTTTAACAGAAATGTGCCAAGTCCAGACCCTGTTCCTGAGAATTAAAAATTTGAGGTGACAACAACACAGACAGTTTGAAGTATAATTCTGAGGAACCCAGAATGCTTTATTTGTAGGCATAGTTTTCAACTCAGAGAGAGCACAGGCAAGGCTGTCAGGGTTCAGGTCGAGAATTCCATCTCAGGTTCTGAGCATGAGTCTAGGATGGCTTTCTCTAATCTCTTTTTGTATTTAGGTTATTAAATAACAAACTGAATATGAAAAATTCAACTAAGACAGCATCCAGTATTCCTGACAATAAGCAACTTAAAAAACAAAACAAAAACCTACTTTGACAGTTTTGGTCTCAAGACAGCTTTGTCTCAATGACACAGAAAACTATCATGTCCTCAACCAACTTCAAACACCCAACAAAATATATTCACTTTGTTTACAAAGTTTCAAACACAACATGTTATCATTACTTGTTTAAAAGCAGAAACTCTGGAAATATCATAACTTTTGATGTTTAAAGCCACATTTATACAAATTCAGAAAATTTTAAGGACTTAAAGGAGAAAAGTTCTATGGCACTAGTGATGAAGTTGATAAGGGTGTTTTTAAGTTGAAACATGAGAAAGAAGCAATGTGCCAGATGCAGTATGGATAAGTAGTTTTCTGAACACACACACACACACACACACACACACACACACACACACACACACACACACACACACACACACACACACACAAAAAATGTGGAGCCAAAACTCCCAGGTGTGTCCATCACATGAGTCATGGGCCATATGCAGCCAACACAAACCCATTAATTGAAGACACAAAACATTCATTCATTCATTTGTTCATTCACTCATTCACTCATTTCTGTAACGCCATCACTTGGTTCTTCACTGGGAACACTGTATATGACAATGTTATTTTGTACGTCCCAGAATGTAAAAATCTTGGTCTTAGTTTTAAGAAGAAAAGTATGTTAATTTTTTCTTCCAAACCTTATTAATATTACCATTTTAAAACTAGCACATTATCTTGTTTCTGTTTTATGGGCAGGAGAGCAAAATATTTCCATTCTAAATTACAGACTCATCTGGGTAAACAAAGCAATGTAGATCAGGCTTCAAGCTCAGGAATTAAGTAGTGTGAAGTGAGTGATTTTTGTTTGTTTGTTTGTTTTTTTTTTTGTTTTTGAAACCACACAGGGTTTCTCTGTGGCTTTGGAGGCTGTCCTGGAACTAGCTCTTGTAGACCAGACTGGTCTCGAACTCACAGAGATCCACCTGCCTCTGCCTCCCGAGTGCTGGGATTAAAGGCGTGCACCACCAACGCCCGGCGAAGTGAATGATTTTTAAGGAACTAACTGAAATCATTTTTTTTTACTCTTCAGTTTTCTCATTGGAGAGAGGTGTGGGAAGGTATGAACACGGTTAATAAAAGAGCATTAGTATCCTCATAGTATCAAGCCACATAAGAATGTGCCAGAACAAAACTCAACTCCACTTGGGATATAGGAACAAACAAGCATTTCTCAAAAGCGCATAATACTGGAGTGTGTTTGAAATATTACAAGAGAATCTGAAAGTGAAAACAAAAATTCAAAGTTGAAAAAAGAAAAACTAGATATCAGTGAGCTTCACAATTTTTTATATGTGTGCACTTGCTACTGTGTGTTCATGCACTGCGTGTATGTGTGTATATGAAGCCAAAGACAGTGTCAGGTATTATTCAAGTGCCATCCACCTTTTGGCTTGAGACATTTTCCCACTGGCCTGGAGCTGGTCACCCAGTGAGCCTTATCCTATCTGTCTCTTGCTCCCTAGTTCTGGAATTAAAGCACGTTCCATCACACTCAGCTTTTTTATGTGGGTTCTGAGGCTCCAACTCAGGTATTCAGACTTGTAACATAAACATTTCACCCAGTAAACTATCTTAGCCCCAACTTCACAAATTTTTTAGATGAAAAGCTGAAATGTACAAACAATGAAGCACATATACACTTTATCAGGTGTATCCAACCTACATCATGGGTCTTTATGTACCCTAGGCTAGCTACAAATGTGGCCCAACATAATACATGAAGCCTCATGAGGTTGTTTTTCTGTGCATGGTCCTTGAGCAGGAACCCTCTGGTTGACACTGTGTCTCAATGTGAAAAGGCTGGACATGCTGCTAGCTCGGTTTAGTAGGCATCAGGTCTGAAAATAAGACTTATGTTTGCAAACCCAATTCCCACTCGCATGTAACTCCATTACAGACAAATGAGTGACTACTACCTCCTCCCATGGAGTGTATGATGAAGAAACACTGCAAGCAATCACAGTGCTCTGCTGACTTCCGGAGTTTCTCTAAAATCTGTTCCTGGTAAAGACTTCCAAAAACTTTGTGACCCACAGCCCTGAAAATAAGAACACAGATAAAATTATTTTCAATTTTTCTCTAGATAAATTATAAAAAAAATAAGAATTCAGTTATAATTTTTGTTTCCATTTAAACTAAACTCTGAACTACAGTCAATTCACACATTAAAAAGCAGAATGAGGTTAACTCAATAGATAATAAGATGCAAAATTCCAAACTAATTTATCTTGTTTAAAAATGGGAAAAACTGGTCACATCACATTATTAGATGAAATGGCAATGGTTAAAAATGATTGTGAAGAGTCTAAGTTGTCTTTGTTAATCAAATCTTGGAGTATCACTATGATACAAGATAAAAATGAAGTCCTGTTACATGCAGATTAGTACATGCAAACATCATATAACTAGTTACACACAACCAAAGGAAGACTTGGCGGTGGTCAGGGAGACTCATTTCTTAAGTGGCTGGTTGTCCCTGGTCTCCTGACACATGGAATTCAAACCATGCTTTAATAAACTGTACATCTGAACAAACAACACGAAGCAACTTAGTTTTTAAACAAGAACAACAACAACAAATCAGTGTGAATTCTTTAACTGTTGGTCATGTGTTTCCCCATTAAAGAGATTATGTATTTAAGACAGCCTGTGTCAGCTTGGATAGGAGAATCCTGGTTTGGCTTATATCCTTCTGTTAATTTAGACAAACAGGAGAAACTGAACAATCAAATAACATCAGTGAATTTTTTTTTTTAAGATTTTATTTATTTATTATGTATACAACATTCTGCTTCCATGTATATCTGCACACTAGAAGAGGGCACCAGATCTCATAAAGGTGGTTGTGAGCCACCATGTGGTTGCTGGCAATTGAACTGGAGCCATCTCTCCAGCCCCGGGTGAATCATTTTTTAAAAGTACTTAAAACTTAAGAATTTAGTATATCGGGGGGCTGGAGAGATGGCTCAGTGGTTAAGAGCACTGCTGCTCTTTCAGAGGACCTAGGTTCAATTCTCAGCACCCACATGGCAGTTCACAACTGTCTGTAACTCCTGTTCCAGGGACCTGACACCCTCATACAGACTTACATGAAGGCAAAACACCAATGTACATAAAATAAAAATAATTTTAAAAATAAAGAAAAAAAGAATTTAGCATATCAATTTCTCATGATTAATTTTCTATTTAAAAAAAAAAAAAAGGAGTGAAAGTAAATCCTGGCAGCTTCTGAGCATCTTAAAGCAGCATAAGTTAATTATTAAAAGACGAGGCAGAAAAGCTGATACTGCTGTGTGGCAAATGGTAGTTTGCTTTCATTACAGCAGGACCTATTAGGATAAGGCAATGGACACTCAACTCTTACAAATGGCATTCAGTATGTTCTCACCAATTGTTTCCTGAGCCAGAAATATCAGTGATGAGCTGCTTGCTATCAAACACATCTCTTAGTGGTCCTTGGAGAATTTCATTCACTACTCCTTCTTCCATGTCAATCAAAACAGCCTGAAAAGAAAATTTAAATTGAGCATATTTTCTCTAGTAAGTATAAATTCAAGAATCCATGAGCTGCAAGTTATACTGTTCTTTTTCACCATTTGAGGTTAATTAACTTTTTCCTTTATGGAATCTATTTAAGAATTAAAAAAAAAAAACTTTTATCCAGCTTAGAAAGATGGAACCCAGTTAAAAAGTAGATTCTAAACTCTTAAATTCTACTCCAAAAGGTGCCAGTGGAGGACAAAGGAACCCAATAATCCTTTCAACTGAAGGATTTTTAACAGGGTCTTAGAAATCCTAGAAGACAATCCTGGCCAGAATTTTTTTTTTTTTAAATAAATGTAGGATGTATCAATGCATTTGCTCACTAGGAAGAAAATGGAACGATTATGGCCGAGAAATGTCCAGTTCAAGTAAGTTAACTTCTAAGGTCAAGGCACTGGGAGGATGTTAGAGAGGACAAGTCAAATTCATTAACTGACTACACTGACATGGGAGACATCTACATTAAGAAATAATATAAAAGATAAAATTAAAGGACAGCAAATGTGAGCAGGAATGGTTTAACAGGACTATATGCTCCTTCCACCTATTTTCTTCTTTACTTTCCAAAGAAAAGTTGCCAAATACTTGAATGTGGACCATGTTGGCCATTCAGCATTTAAAACAAACTGGAAGGTGAATAAGCTTGAATACTGGGTGCCTCATGAGCTGCTCAAAATGAAACAAACTGTGGTTCTGAACTACTGTCCTCTCTTATCCTATATCCTAGGCAACAACAAACCATTCTAGATTGATGTGGACTGAGAAATTTCAAAACGCTTTCTAAAGCCAAACTTACGTGCTTGCATGCACATGTGTGTGCGCACATACATACACATATTCACTACTGTTTGTCGGCTGGCGGTCTCATCCACATCTTCCTGAATCCCAGAGAAACTATTACAGCTCTGCATACAGATGGGATGCACTGAAAATGCAATGCCTGAAGCTGCCATTAGTCAACAGAAACGGTCCAGTTCTTTTCTATGATAAACCCAACCACATGTCTGTCACAACCAATGCTTCAAAAGCTGAATGAACGGGCTATTAAATTCTGCCTTTCCCACCATATGTGTCAACCATCTCCTGCTCCTTCTAGTATCCTTTACCTTTATGTAGGGAAAATATTTCCACAACCAAAAAGATGCAGAAAATGCTTTCCAACAGTTTGCCAAACCCCAAAGCATGGATTTTACAATAGAGGAAAAACACACGTAACTTCTCACTGGCAAAAAATGTGTTGATTGTAATGGTCCCTATCCTGATGAATAAAGATGTGTCTGGGCCTAGTCATTTAAAAGTCATGGTCTGAAATAGCAGCTCCTTCTGCTCCTGCTCTTCCATGCCATTGTTTAGACACTTCTCTGACCCAAACACACAATGGTATAAACACTTGGCTAGTAAGTGGTAGAGCCAAACCTACACTGCCCCTAAGTTTGGTGTTTAGAGTGCTAACTACAATGGAGTTACAATTTACAAACATGTAAATTCTGCCAATTTGTGTAATTAACTTGCTTCCTATTTTAAGACTGTGCTGATTGGTTTTTGTCAACTTGACACATAGACATATAGGGGAGGAGGGAATCAATCATAATTGAGAAAATGTCTTCATTTTCTCAAGGCCCACCGCACTGTAGGTGGCACCATGCCTGGGTAGGGGGCCCTGGATAGTGTAAGAAAGCAGGCGGAGCAGGTCACGAGGAGCAAGCCAGTAAGCAGCTTCAGTTCCTACTTCGGGGTTCCTACCTCGGGTTCCTGCCCTGACTTCCTTCCATGATGAACCATGATGTGGACATGTAAATGAAACAAACCCTCTCCTCCCCACATTACTTTTGGTCATGGTGTTTTGTCACAGCAATAGAAACCCAAAGACAAAGATATACAACGCACACATAATGCCTTATGTTTCAAAGACTGTAACTATTTAAAACATCTTTTTCAAAGATGTTGGGCATGGTGACACACGGCTGTAATTTCAGCACTCAGGAGACTGAAGCAGGGTACTAGAAGGTTTTAGTTTTTTAATTTATTACTTTTACTTTTGTGTATGGGTGCATGTATCATGTCTGTGTATCATGTTCATGACTAGTTCCCGCAGAGGCCAGAACAGGGCACTAAATCCTCTGCAACAGAGCTGCTATGTAGATTCTGGGAATCAAACCCTGGTCCTCTGGAAGAGCAGACAGTGCTCTAAAACCTCGAAGTCATCTCTCCAGCCCCATGTAACTTTTTTTTGGGGGGAGGAGATTTATTATTGCTGGGCAGTACAGGTGAACACCTTTAATCCCAGCACTCAGGAGGCAGGTGGATCTCAGTGAGTTTGAGGCCACCCAGGGCTACAGAGTGAGTTCCAGGACAGCCAGAGCTGTTATACAGAGAAACCCTGTTTCGAAACACCCCTCCCAAAGAAAGGGTTTTTTTGATTGTGTGTATGTGTGTGTATACATGACTGCGTCCCGAAGAGGCCAGAGGTGCTGGAGTCCTCCTGGAGCTGGAGCTGCAGGCAGCTGTTGACTGGCAAACCTAGGTGTTGCTCTCTGGTCTTCTGCAAGAGCAAACACTGCCAATACTGACTATCTCTCCAGTCCCTACAACTATGTTTTATAAAAGTGCTCTGTTTCTTTTATACCAGACTATATAGGGGAGTGCATTGTTAATTTTAGAGATTTTCAAGGACATACTGAACAATATGCAATTTTTACCCTAAATGCAGACATTGTACCAACAAGAGTCTTGACTGAACATTTATAGGATTATAAATTGTAAAAGATAATAAAACAATTATATTGGTCATGTTCCAAACCAGACTTGATATGGTGCATGGACGTTTACAGCTGAGTAAGCCACACCACCTGACTGCAAGGGAAACAACAGGCAGTGCATTTACTGGGATTTGGCCCCAGCTGAAGTGGCATCTGTAGAATCATCACTGTCCTAGTAACTCACTTAGCTCTTCTGATCTTTCCTTAGACACAACAAGCCCCTGGTTTCCTTGACCTTCAGGAGCTAATTATATGTCCAGAGCATTTCTGATTCTTCGCTTAGGCATCCCCAGGCTGCAATCAAAACTGTTCCAGGAATACAGAAGTCTATATTCACTTCCAGAGCTACATGGCAGTAACCAGACAACATTCTGTGTCTGTAGCCCAAGACACTATGTGTAATTAGTCTAGATGCCATAGTTTCTTTTTTGCTAAACTCTGGGATGCCAGCTCTGCACATAATTGAGCTTCCTTATCACCTTATCAGTGCGCAGGGGGAAGGTACCCACTGGGCACTACTAGGAAAGGATAAATGAGCACGTTCCTGCAGCCTCTGGCTGCCACTGAGAAAGTGCTTCCATTTCCTTGGTGTTGTGTGGCTATGATCACTGCTGAGTCCACCATAACTTGGTGTTTAGCTTCCCCCACTGTTCTCTGCATTCATTAACTGTGCTAACTTGCACACACGTGATCTCTCCCTTCAGTTTAGCTTTCCAGGGACAGCAGAGATCACACAGAAAGTCTTCAGGTGCCACCCTGCTACTCACTGGTCTCTCAGCCTCTAATACCAGGTCTAACCCAAGCACCTCAGTTCCTTATAAAGTTTTTACACTGCCTTTCTTTCTTTTTTTTTCTTTTTTGAGACAGGGTTTCTCTGTGTAACCCCAACTGTCCTGGAACTCCCTCTGTACATCATCAGTCTGACCTTGAACTCACAGAGATCCTCCCGCCTCTGCCCCCTGAGTACTGGGATTAAAGGTGTGCACCACCACTGCCTGGCTAACCTTTCTTTTCCTTATAGTCAAAGACTACTAACCAACAACAAGAAGAGAAAAACAAACTTGCAGAGAAACAATTAACTCAAATTGTACTGCCATGTTACAAAGCGAGAATCCCAGAATATGGATCTTACTCGTGCTTTTAAAGAAGATATTCTTCCTTTGGAAATACTGTCACCATCACTGACCACTCTGAAACATAAAGAAATTGAGAATGGGTCATAAGATTTTCCAGGGCTGGTAGTGTCTGCTTTCATTTACACAGTAAGGCAGCTTTCTCCCTCTACCATACTGGTCCAGGGGACTCAGACTCAAGTCCTCTGCTCGGCAGCACACAGCCTCACCTGAACCTGCTGAACCAACTTGCCTGCCTCTGTATCTGTGTCTTTAAGCAACTTCTCCACACCAAGAACATCTCTTTTCTAGTTTTGTGAGGTAAGTGGGTATCTTTTTTGTTGTTGTTGTTTACGTTAATGTTAATTAGGTATTCTGCTGCAGCCAAGCCCATCAACTGATACAAGCATTTCATACCACTCAGGGCATTTCTAGCATTTTTAGCGAAAATACTACAATCTAGGAATAAGCATAGTGTACGGGTCAATAATTTACCAGAGACTAGATGAGGAGCTGGTTAAACACAGACACTACAGGCCAATAGTAAGTAACTGTAATCCCCAGGCCAACTCCAATTAGCTGCCTGTTTTGCTAAGCAGAAATATGTTTAAATATAGCCGCATCATTCTTTCATGTGCCTATTATCCATGAAGGCAGGTGAGTGCCCGCAACACAATTTTATGCTCTCAACAGTGTCCAAGTATCTGCTATCTGGTTTTTCATGACAACCTCTATTATTGCTATATTTCTCTAGTGCTATGAAAAAGGATCATTTGGAAAGCAGGTGTACACAAAGTTGTGGTAGCAGTTTTCAAAAGGAGTTTTGGGTACTAAGCCTGTGGAACAGAGGCTGGTACCAACGGCACAGAAGGAAGGGTAGGATACCCACACCTTTCCCCCTCTCCAAACTCCAGACGGAGGAAATATGGATGTTTTCATTGAAAAGTATATGTCCCACAAGGTAGACGAGAATTACATAACAACCTTCTTAAGAACAAAATCTCAATCTTAAGAGTGTCAGCTCTGTAATAAATTTTATTTTATTAACTTGTAAGGAACTTGGTTTCATTATGTCATTTCTCAAATTTTTGTTATCTCCCCAGTTCTATGCCCTCCTATCCCTAAAGCTTTTTTTCCTGTTGTCACACGTCATCTTTGCCCCCACCTCTGCCTGCTCACTCGTCTTCTCTCATGGTCTCCTCTATAGTTTCACTAACGTTTGCAGTAACACAAGATTCGGCTATCAAAACAGGAAGGTGTGGAATCGAGACAGCAAGGGAAACATGTGAAGGGACGATTACACAGACAAATCTGAGAACAAGTGTCTGAGGGAGAGGGTATTTTGGGCTCCAAATAAGAGAATCTGTCTAAAAGACAGCCTATCTCCCTATAACAACTGCTCTTCCTGCCGCTATGGAAATTCACCTTAATCCTTATTCTGATACCATGCCTCCAAATAACCTTCTGATTAATATGTAGCTTTGGTAGCTTTTTCCCCCCAAAATGTGCTTATGATGCAAAAGGATTCTCTGGACAGAGTTCATACTGTCCACCACTGACAATGACTTTCCACTGTTTAACCTCCCATTTCTTCAAATTTGACTAATGTGACTGCACCAGAGAGCAGAGGTACAGTTGTGAGCCTGAACATGGGGCTCTGGGATTCATGAACAAAACAAAGACCAGGCAGGTTTCCCGGGAAGATAACAACTCCAACACCTAGTCAACAAATTCAAACTAAATTTCTACCAAATCGGAACAAAGCCCGATATTAATTGTAGTTGTCAGCACAAGTCCACCACAGTTGGTTTTATAGAACATTCTGAAAAATGAATAAATTTAATGATTTAACATTAAAAGCCCACGGGCATATCTCAAACTACTCTTTTAGGTAAAAGACTTATAATACATATATCTTATATTAAACAAAAAGTGATACATGGTGTGGTCAGTTTCCACATTTGTTTCTTTTCAGCATATTCTATGACAGTGGTTCTCAACCTTCCTAATGCTGCCACCTTTTAATAGAGCTCCTCATGTTGTGGTGACCCTCAACCATAAAATTATTTTTGCTGTTACTGTAATTTTGCTACTGTTATGAATTGAAATGTTCATATCTGAAATGCAGGATATTTGACAGGACCCTTGTGAAAAGGTTGTTCAACACCAAGGGGTCCCAACCCACAGGTTAAGATAAATTGTGCTAGGGTCAAGTAATCAGCAAAATAATCTTTCACACCCCCATTACCCCCCCCCCATTCCTTGACACAAGACAAGGTATCCTCAGTGAAAATTACAGGTTTCTCTACTTGAAACTTCATTTCAAAGTTAATGGAGTCTCTTTAAAGGAACTTTTTGATTTTTCACCAAAGCCTGTCAAGGAAGCCTGCTGGTAGGCAGATATGAAAATGTGACATGAGAATAGGCTTTCAATCCGAACAGCAGACAGAACCCACACCATCGAAGCTGGGGACTGCTTCCTGGACCCTTTAAGATGACAGGACAGGAAGGACTCAATGTCGAGGCAGGCTCTCATCCCTTACCTGGTATCCACATTCCTGAAGAAGTTGCTTATTGCATCGTCATAAATTCCTTTCTAGAAACAAAGCAAACAGAGCATTTAAGTTTATTTTCCCTGCAGTCCTTTCAATTTTAGTAATTCTACAACACTGAAAGGGCCCTTAGAAAAAGAAACCTAGGTCAGTTCTTCCAAGTGCGTTTAAAGAGTACAATTTAAACTCCCGATTAAATTCTAGTGATGAAAAAACTATGCCCTACAGCTGGTAAACCAAGTGAGAATTTCTTGGGATTCTTGACTGTTTGATTTGTTATCTATTTTATAGTACTTTCACCTACAGTACCCACTGCCCTTCGAAAACAACTTAAAAAAGAAAGTAAGGAAGACCGCTGAGAATTGGGGAAACTTCAGGCCAGCCTCTTTGGCCAGTGCCTTCTGCCTGTGACTGACAGCAACATGGCTCTAAAAAGAAATTAGCTACGTTCCGTATGAGAAGATCCTATGCAACACAACGTACGGAACACATAAAAATGCAACTTATGGTGCAGATAAAATCGCTCAAGTGAGCCGGGCACGGTAGTGGCGATACTTGGGAAGCAGAGGCACAAGGATCGCTGCAAGTTCGAGACCAGCACGGTCTACACAGCGAGGTGCAGTTCAGCCAGGGCCCCTCCGCAAAGCTCAGGTGAACTCTTCTTTTCTGCTGGCAGGCCCTGTGGCGGGCTCCGGGCTCAGGGCTCGCGGGTACCTGGTTGACCGCAGCGTGCTCCCTCAGCGCCAGGTCCCAGAAGCAGCAGCCGATCTGGTTTCCGCACTGCCCGACTGCGGCGAGCGGCGAGGGAGAGAGAGGAGGACATTAGGAAGACGACAGGTGACGGGGCTCCGCGGTGACCCGGGGGATGGGGAGGGGCAGCTCACCCTGTACGACCACCGACTGGGTCATCCCGGCCGGCGGACCAGCAGGCGCTCGCTCTCCCGACGGCCCGCCCGCACTCCCGCGCTCCCATTCGAGCTAGGGGCGGCCGTAAGTCACGTCGCCGCCGCAAGTACCCACTGTCGTTAAGCCTCCGTTTCTGCCCGACGCAGGGTTTCCGCGCAAGCGCATTTGCAGCTAGCCGTTACCATAGCGACTGGGCCTCGGCAGGTAAATCCTAGCTGCCTTGTCATCATCCTGGGGCATCTGCAGCACCGGAGGCCCTGGTAACGGAGGGGTAACTAGGTTTCGGAGTGGCGCTTTAAATAAGTCTTTAAAACTGATCTTGGACTATGAGAGGCTCACAGTCCTGACAGCCAGGGCCGTGGGTCAGATTCTTCGGGGTGTTGCCCTAGTGTCGTTATCTAACCGAAAACGAACGTCTAGGAGCTCAGAGAAACCCCAGGCAAATAGGCTTTTCCGGGAACAGCCTGGCCATATGGCACAGCTTTTAGAGGCCAATCTCAAACTAACTTTTAAGGTTTCTGGAGAATCCAAAAACAATTAGATATAACCCAGCTTCAGACAGCCGGCAGTGAAATTGAACACACATACACGATGTACTCAAAAGATAGGACCTACAATATGTGGCACTGATAGAGAGAGCAGAAATAGTCAGTGAACAAGGATGTAAGATAAAACAGATGGTTTCAGAGGCTGGAGAGGTGGCTCTTCCAGAGGACCTGAGTTCAATTCCCCACAGGGTGGCTCACAACCATCTATCTGTAGTGAGATCTGGCGGCCTCTTCTGGCCTACAGGCTGACATGCAGACAGAATAACTGAATACACAATAAATAAATCTTAAAAAAAAAATAAAAAAAATCAGATGGCCTCAAAGCTATGGCACTTGATGTATGTGCTATGTAGATGGGCTTTGTAAAAAAGTGGGGATTGCAAAGTTTGAAAAAAATCGGTTATTTCCAGAAACTGAATTTTTGCTAAATAAATTAAGAGATTTAAATTAAGAACTAAATTAAGAACTTAGGCTGGAGAGATGGCCAAGTCAATAAAATGCCTGCCACAGGAGCATGGGGTCCTAAATGCAGGTCCCCCTCACTTACAAAGAAACCAGGAGCCTATACCCCTGGGCTTGGAAGGGTGGAGAAGGGAGGATCCCTGGAGTACAGCTGAATCTGTGAACTGCAGGTCCGACTGGAAACAATGTCTTTAAAAAGCAAGAGGAAGAATGATGAAGGAAAACTTCATGTTCACTTTTGCTTCTACACACACAGAGACACACAAATCCTCAGGAACTTTAGTACTTTAGTGAAATTAATATTTTTCCGCAAAAAAAATTCGGAGAAACTACAAAACCTTTAGTCTTGGTTTAGCAAGAGTTAAATTATACTTACTCTTAATGTGTTGTGATCTGAGCCACAACGTTGGATTGGTTAGAACACCTTATTCTGCCACCAAGATAAGTGATAATTGTTAGACATCTTTGAAAGATGTGAAGTTTGAAGTTGTAGTGGGTTGTTTATATTGCTGAGGCCTTTCCATATTTTTGTTTGGATGTTTTACACCTGTGTTACATCTCTTGTAATTAAGGGGAAGATTTTAGTCAAGAAAAAAAAATTGAAATTGCTGGATTTACTCTTACCTGCTTGTTGGGAAGCACACAGTCAGTGGTGAAGGTACGGTGAGACTCTTTGGGTCTTAATGTTGAAATCCTCAAATCTGGGGCTTCCAAAATTTGCAAAACTTAGACAAATGTGTAAGTTGTGTTATAATTAGGTTGAATCAGTAGATTCAGATGCCAACTCACTTGGTACTCTGGTCTTTGCAGAGCTCTGCCCATGCTGTAGTTCCCGTCATTCTCCAGAAGTCACACAACAGCAAGGAGTTGTAAGAAAGTCCTTACGAGTTTCGCCAAAAACGTCAGTCTGGAGTGAATCAGATGTTTCTGCTTAATCGACAGGTGAGGAGTCACACCAGGACTTTAGGGCAGGCACATTTAGATGAGCCAGGATGGAAACAGCTTAATGGCAGGTTGTCTCCAGTCATACAAGCAAGAACTTTTTTTTTTTTTTTGTATGAAGTCATTGAGGTTTTGGGGTCCAATTGTATCAGAGTAATAAATGATTAATATATACAAGAAATAGAGTCATCAAGATTTTACATGTCAAATATCAGCAAAAGAAAGTCATCCATAGTCATGTGGACAGGTGATGTAAAAGGAAGGAAAGAGAAATGGAGAAGGAGGGAGGAAGGGAGACGGCATGCTAAGATGAACGAGGTGCCTGGCATGAGGTAAAATCTGACCTCAGGAGGAGAGCAGAGAATCTAAGTGTGTTGCACTGTTGAAAAGTGTAAAGATAGGGTACCCGGATACTAAAATAGTGTGTTGAAAAATACAGGCTGATTGAGATAAAAGAAACAAGGAAACCAATTAGAGACAAAACCACCTTTAAGGGCTAATGGACAAGTTTTAAAATCATGGAAAAAGCAGACTGGAGGAATGAAATCAAATTGCTGATACAGAGAAACGTCTTGAAGTAATCACAGAGAATACTGAGGGGAAGGTGACATTTTTTAAGCTATTAAAATAATATTCATGGGGGAGGCAAAATGGCTCAGCATAAGATTAATAAATATCCCGGAAATAGAGAACACAGAGTACACAAAGACAAATACACTTAATGGTATAAAACAATGAAAAAAAAAGTCAAAAGGGTACACTGCATTCCACAGTATTTCTATAGAGCAATCAACATCAATAACTATACTTTGGTTAAGTTATTCAGTTTTCAGAACAAATAATCCTCTGGGTCTCTGGGAAAGAAAAAAGGAGTCAGATGAAGAAAAACCAATTAGGCTGCTTTGATTGCTCTATAAGAGGGCACATCTTTATAGTCATCTGTGGTGTTTAGTCAATTACTAGAAATTCTATCCCAATCTCAAGGCAAAATTCATTTGATTACTTTCAAAAAAATGAAACTAAAGTCAGAAAACGAAACATTAGTTTTAGAAGTCAAATATTTTGACATGGTTCAATCCAAAAATATACTTATTGATACATGCTGAGGGATGACAGTAGGAAAATATTAAAAGTCATTGTTCTGTATAATTAAACCACTGTGTTTCTACAAGAAGCAGGAAGATTTTTGCACATACAGTACAGACACTACAATTGATAACCTACAGTCTCAAACCTGAGCTGAGGTGTTTCTGCATGGTGTGTTTTGATGGCGTCTGTAATGCAAAGTGTGCATGGTGTGTGTGTGTGTGCTCAGAACCAAGGCTACAGTGAGATTACATGGCACAAGATAGACAAGCACTGCCAGATACTTGACAAGTTCATTATATATTTTATCTTTAATCAAGTTCTGATTGTTGTGTGTTTAGAAACCATGGATGGCTGTCAAATGTTTCATTTGGTTACATGACCCCATAGTTTAAGAAGCCACAATCTAATACATTCAGTACTGGGTGTCACTGAAAAACCTCTACAGGGTTGTAAGGAGAATAAAATATGTTCAGAGGAAATTCTATTTCTATGGCTTCCCAAGTTGCCATTTTAATACAATTTGACTTTGTGGTCACCTATCCACATTTACTCTTGTACACTGCCATTCTGAATCCATCTCTCGTGTAACTTGACAGTCAGTAGCAGAGGCTGGGGTGGTAAGATTGTCTTCCAGCCCTCTCTTTGTAGCACTTAAGTCCTTAGCTCAATGATCTGAATTACAGGTGATTACAGTTTTCTGGCCATAGTGACACTTACCTATAATTTTGGCATTTTTGAGGTAGACAAGTGAATCTCTGAGTCTGAGGCAAGTGTGTACTGCAGAGTGAGTTCTAGGCCAGCCAAGGCTACACAGTGAGACCCTGCCTCAAAAAGGAGACGTTTCCTCTCCTATGACAAACATGGGTCACTACCCTTTAAACTTTCAATAACAGATTCTTGTCAACCCTGCTGATGAGTAATGTGTAGTGGCTTGTAGTAGTACCTAAGTTTGGACCTAACTCTGTACAGACCAGGCTAAACTTTGTTAATACTGGAGACACAATCAGCTTTAACATTTCAGTGCTATCTAAGAGTAAATGTTCATCTTCTGCATACTACAATGTTACTCAGGGCTGTCTAGGGTGTTACCTAGGCTGATGGGTTGCCCTTTTTGGTCTATTGCTGGTTTATTTTAAATTGATGAACAATAATTGTACATATTTACTGGATACAGTTGGTATATGTTTACATTATGGGATGATAAAATTCACATATTTTACCTCATATACTTACCCTTTTAATAGTGAGAATACTATTAAGTTAAATATTATTGAAATTTATTATCAACTTGGAAGTTAGAACACATTAACTATAATCATCATGCTATTCAGTAGATTTCTAAAATTTCCTTTTCAGCCTACTGAAACTTTATGCCCTTTGAAGATCTCTTTACTTCCCATCTCCTTCCCTTTTGATAACCACCATTTTACTTTCCTCCTTAACCCTTTAGCTCTCACACATAAGTGAGACATGTAGTGCATGTCTCTTTGTGCCTGGTGTATTTCATTTAACATGATGTCTTCCAGAGGCTCCTTCATGTTGTTGTGAATGACTGGATTTTCTTTTCTCCTTCTCTCCTTGCAGTACTGGAATTGAGCCCAGGGCCTTGTGCATGCCAGTCAGGTGCTCTACCACCAAGCTACATCCCCAACTCAGGATGTCTTCTGTTTTTAAAATGCCAATTAGTGTTCCATATAGCAGATTAATTCACACGGTTGGGTCCAATTTACACCCACAACATCTTGAGCAAAGGCTTCTTATAATTCTTAGATCATTAAGTAGCAGAGACAGATTAGTCCTAACAAAAGACTCTCATGATGTAGCTTAAGAAAACATAAAGCTAATTTTCCAGAAGCTGTGTTTCTGTGTTCCAGACCAAAATCTAAAAGAACTTGGAAGACTAAAAGTAAAAGTATTCAGCAATGTAAAATTTTCATTGTCTGGTAATACTTCCCAGTATACAAAGATGACATCTGTAACTAGGGAAAAAAATCCAGTCTGTTAAAACAGACCAAGGGAGGGCCACAAATGAAAAAAAATTTGGTAAACAAGAGCATGAGTAAACAAGAGATACAAAGGATAATATCTGAGTTCATTCCCCTCTAGAGATGGTTTGATTATACAGCCTTGGCTGTCCTGGAACTCACTCTGTAGATCAGGCTGGCCTGA